CTTAACAACGACCATTTACATATTTCTGTTGCACTGATACCAAAAGTGTTTAAGGAATGCTCATCAAGTCGTGCATACTGTCTGTGTGTATATCACTCAAGTAGATTTAATATGCTTCTGTGCGTTTGTCGTATTATCTCCTAATCTCTGTCATCATTCTAGTTGCGACAATGGTATGTTTTATGAAATCAAGGGACTGTGATAACGTTGATTTGTGTTTTAAGATGCAAAATATAATATTTTAACTGTTTCAAGATGAAATCTGTGGTTAGTGTTATCGTCATAAAACACTTCTTTGAAAATGAGATAAGGTCACTGGTGTGTTTGTTTGTGTGCTTCTAAAAAATCCTGAAGTGTATGTGTTTGTAATTGTAGAAATCTGTTTTGTTGAATTGAAAGGATAGGCATTATATGAGACATTTTGTGACTGAAAACAACACTTAATCCTGTGAAAGTAATTCACTGACAGTGTAGACGGTAGGAGTTGTAATTATAGTATAAGATGGTGATGGTAAGCAAAAAACGCTGGACACATTTTGGAAGTTAATGGTCATATACAGGAATATCGGATTGGTTGGAAGGGTTGAAACCTGTGAACAATGCCATCACAGGTGCATAGCAGCAAGAATTGTGGCACTGATAGCATAATTCATGAACTTATCTAAGTAAGTGCAACCAGAAGAGAGGTTTTCCATCATCCACTTTCCCAATGTTCAGATCTCTGTGACAAGATGATGTTCATTTTAGTAGGTGATGTGAAAGGATTAACCATCTTTACGGTCTTAAAACCATACCGTCAACCATCAAACTCAACTCTGAAAACTACTGATATTACATCCATTCATCCTACAGTGTTTAATGCTTCTATATGGTTGTAATGAACCGACTGTTTTAGAAATTTATTTCCTTTTACCATTCCCCATCATGATGCATTACCCCACACTCTACTCTGATATCTGATGCATCTGAATATCAAACTTGATTTCATCGTTCAGGTTGTAGGGCAGAGTTGCGTTTATTCCTAGACGTATCTTTTCATACAGAACCTAATTTCTCTGTGTATTCTTCTGATTACATATAATGGTATTAGTAACTGACAATGAGAAACCTTGATACAAAACTGATCAGTCTAACACAATAATGTTTTGAATGATTTTTACTTATTACACTAGAAATCTGTAGTGTGATGAAGTTACATTTTTCTCTGGAACTGTCTGAATTCTGTGAATGTTTCCATCTTTATGCTTCAACTAATAAAGTAGTATTGTATGGTAGCAATTCTCGCTGTTATTAAACTCATCATAAGCTATTTGTAAAGTTGATTGAGTTACATACAAACCAAAGCCGGTGGTATTTGAGTGTTACTGCTGCGGCAACCAACTTCAGTACACCAACTCATATAGTAACCCCAACACACAAAATGACTTCATTCTTTTCCAACTAGCAATGGTCGATAGGCACTTGATCAGAAGTAATTCGATTTCTCGAGATATTTTGAATACTCAAACTGAATCATTTACAAGTGGTAGCTTTACTGACGTTTACACTTTATGATCAACACTAAGCGTTTGTAATGTGGTGACTTCGGTTCCCAGTTGGTTTTCATTCATCTTCAAACATGATCCCAACTTCTTCCCTGTCCATGTAATTTCTTCACGTAATCTCTAATGTCGCACAAATTTGAAGATCTGTAGGCGAAAACTAACAAGTTATCAGAAAAGGCAGCGAAAACAGGACTTCAAGTGAACGTAGAGGAGACGGCGGTGATGAGGATATCCAACCAACTACCACTAACAACAACAATCACCATTAACGGGAGAAACCCTGAAGAAAATAGCCTCTTTCACCTACCTGCCTAGGCAGCATCGTTTCAACTACACGTGGCACAAGTACAGGTGAGGATGTCAAAGCCAAGATCGGAAAGATAGGAAGACTGACGTTGATTAATCTGAAATCAGTATGGAGATCTACTGCACTCAGCACAAAGAACAAGATGCGGACTTTCAACACAATTCAGTCAAGTCAGTGCTGCTATGTGATGGTTCAGAGAGTTGGCAACGCTTTACGAAAAGCACCTCCAACAAACTACAGACATTCATCAACAGCTGCCTCCTATGCTCGCTCACTCGATGATCAAGATCAGTTGAGAATAAGCAACAAGGAACTCTGGTGGGGCCACAAACCAAACAAGAACCAATCACCCAACAAATATGCAGAGGAATAAAGTGGAGATGGATTGGATTGAGCATACACTGAGAAGGCCGACTGGGGACATCACGCGCCAGGTTAAGCTGTCGAGTAGAACCCAAAGGGGAAACCACGAGTTGGTTGTGTGAGGGTAACATTAGGAGATGATGTGTGAGGAAGAAATGAAAAGGAAAAAAAAATACCATCAGTTATATTCGGTTAATGCTTCTCCAATAGATATCTGATTCTGATATTATCATCACTTTTGTTTCTACTACATGATGTCAGAGAGAAAGTTTATGCGAACTTGAAGCTGAGTATGCAGATAGGAGGACAGAGCTCATGTCTTTGTTGAATACATCAATCATATTAGCTTTTAAAGAATTTACTCTATGAAAT